CAAAAAACCAGTGTGTAGTCCAATTAACGGGTGTGTGTTTTTCGCTGTGGCCACATTTCTGTCCTGAGATGTTCAGATAGAATGGCATGGCAGGAACCAGTCTGTAGTGTACTCTAGACCCGTCAGTGGGACTTAGCACAGGGAGCCAGCTCCAGATACAGTTATGTGGGCATCACTCCTCTAAACAGCCTGGCCGTTGAACCCTGCTGCAGATGGGTAATGCCTGGCCGTTGAACCCTGCTGCAGATGGGTAATGCCTGGCCGTTGGACCCTGCTAACCTTGGTCATCGCTCCACTAAACAGCCTGACCCTTGGACACTGCTGCAAATGGGTAGTGTGTGCCCCTGCAGTCTACCCAACCTTTTACCGCGCAATCTCCTCAGCCAGTCGACACCTTGCTTCTGTCCACTGATTGAGGAGGAGCTCCGCTACTATGTAGTAGTCGTCGACACCTTGCTTGTGTCCGCTGTCGACACCTTGCTTGTGTCCACTGATTGAGGAGGAGCTCTGCTGGTATGTAGTAGTCGAAAATTGCTCGTGTCCACTGATTGAGGAGATCTGCTAGCATGTACTACTGTGCTACAGGGGAGGGGGGACTCGGCCCCCCTTAGTGCCCGAGACAGGGGAGGGGGGACGCGGCCCCCCTTAGTGCCCGAGACACAATGGCCCGTTACCTTGCTACAGGGGAAGGACTCTGATGTTCCTATTTCCAAACCTCAACAAATCCAATTTCCATGCCACATATTCCGTGCTTTACTTCTCCGCCAGTCAGGAGGCCAATAAGACACTAACCCCATCCCCGTGTCCGGGGGGGCACGTGGATGACTGCAACCACCTGTCAGGTCGGGTGGCCAATAAGAGACACTAACCCCACCCCCGCTTCTAATCGGTCTACACATATGCCCACTTTTGCTCTTTGATGTGTGGTCCTCAGAATGCTCAATGCACACCACAGAAAACCCCACTCCCCTTTCCCATCATCTCTCTCTTTCCTGTGTTGAGTTTTGTCGTACATCACTTCCATTTTCCCTCGTTATTTTCTCTTCTCTCGCTTTTCCCTCCCCCCTCAATCTCTCTCTCTCTCTCTCTGCTCTCTCTCTCTTCCCTTCCTTCCCTCTCAACTCCTCGATTCGCCTTATCCCTTGGACCAAGGTGGTCCAAGGACCACCTTCCCATCCAAAGTTCCGAACCCAACATCTCCGCTCTCTCTTTTCCCTTCCCCTTCCCTCTCAATCTGTTCCAGACAAAGGTGGTCCTCTCATGGTCAAGTCATCAATCAGCCCTATCCCTTGGACCAAGCATCTAAACCCACTTTGGCTCTTTGAGCGCTGAAAATGTCTGTAGGGCTTTCCTGAATGTATCATTTCAATCAGCATCACAAAAAGGCAGGGCGGGACATCATCAGCATCATCATCATCATCATCATCATTGCTATCATCATCATCATCATATGAGGGACGCTGAGCCCGGTTCTCAGCAAGTTCGGTTCGGTCACTCCGGGTAGACTGTGAGGACCCCGGCCTCAATCTTCTCAAAAAAAAGAAAACTCAATCTTCTCAAAAAAACGAAAACTTAAAGCCCTATCCCTTGGACCAAGCATCTAAAATGTCTGTAGGGCTTTCCTGAATGCATCATTTCGATCAGCCTTATCCCTTGGACCAAGCATCTAAAATGTCTATGGGGCTTTCCCGAATGTATCATTTCAATCAGCAGCCCTGTCCCTTGGACCAAGCATCTAAGATTCTAAACCCACTTTGGCTCTTTGTGCTGAAAATGTCTGTAGGGCTTTCCTGAATGTATCATCTGCGTTGTCTGGTATATTCGCAACTCTCTTTTGATTTCCTACCGGCTTCCCCCAATTTTTACAGGCTCGTATTCGGTGCAAAGCACCCATAACCGGAGCATGCTTTTGCCACACATCCGCGTAGGAGTCAAACAAGTCCTGAAAGACTCTGTAGGTCAGTCTCACATCCATCCATGGGTGGTCCTCTTTTGATTTCCTACCAGCTCCCCCCAATTTTCACAGGCTCGTATTCGGTGCAAAGCACCCATGACCGGAGCATGCTTTTGCCACACATCTGTGTAGGAGTCAAAAAAGTCCTGAAAGACTCTGCAGGTCAGTCTCACATCCATCCATGTGTGGTCCTCATTCTTCGGTGGTTAATGCAAGTAGATGATTCATAGCATGGGTGACTGTTAATGCACGTAGATTATTTACAACACCGCATGCATGGTTAATGCAAGTAGATGACTTAAGATGGGTAATTCTCACAAAATAACAACTGACCTAGGGCTACCAGAGCTCATTCGCAGCACACCAAGTAGACGTTGTTGGTTCTTTAGAACACACACTACGCTCTCGCTGCACTACACAACAATCTGCATGCACTTGGTCACTCTTTGGGCCCAGGACATTCAGAATGTTGCACTCGTCCCAATGAACATGGTCGTGAAAACGTCCAAATGCATGTAGAATGGTGTGCAGCCGAGCGACGCCCCATGACTGTCACAGTGTTGTACTGTGTAAATGCTTTGCTAGCGTGCACCTCCCACTTTTAGCTGGCAATTGTAAAATTTAATGCAGGTGCTCTATCCACCGTGATTGTCGACAGAAACACCTCGGTTCTCAGACCAGGTCTTCATACCCATTGCTCGGCAAAAACATTGGGGCATGCCGCACCACTCACCAAAATGTGCAGATTCTGAAGCGGACTGTATCTTCCACCGGAATGTGGAAAGATGAGCCACCCATGTGGAAAACCTGGCCGCATTGTGTTCATCTTCGCTGTTGGCATCCTATTTTTGTCCTTTTTACATTGACACAAGACGTGGTGCACGGCCCATTGCAATTAGTCTGACATCCCTCCTTTCCTACTACCTAGCATGCGCCTTCCTGTTTTGCCTGTTCCGACATGCAAAAGGAACACACCGTCCCAACAGCATGCAACTCGGAAAACGGCGCATACAAAAAAATGGGGACCGTGTCGCCCTTTTGCAGCACATCCATACTGAGTGCGTTTCCCTTCAGAACTACTTAACGGTTCGACTTAAAAGACTAATCAAAGCCGAACCCCAACTAGTTCTGAGGGGAACAATTTCTTTTCAACTTTCACAAGTTACTAATCGAACAAATTCGAACCCCCAAGTTCCCAACTAGTTCTGAAGGGAAGCGCACTCAGTCTGCTGAGTGTTCAATAATTTTGGCTCATGAAGGGCGCTCTCAATTTTGGCTCATAAAGTGCGGTCTCTCCTGCTGAGCCCAATCATCATGCCACATTCATAGAGTGA